TGAGTGTGAGTGTGAGTGTGAGTGTGTGTGTGAGTGTGAGTGTGTGTGTGTGTGTGTGTGTGGATCAGGCAATTTTGTTACCAAATGCCCCCAGAAGGAAAGTACAACTTGAAACCTGAATAAATGCAGTCCCTTGCAAAAAATAAAACTTAGTTGTATTGAATGTGCACTTGTAGTGTACTTCAAATCTTAAAATTATTAAAACTGTACTTGCATATAATATAAAGTGAGTGAAGTGTGGCCAAGTATAGTGTCCCATACTTGGAATTTGTGCTCTGCATTTAACCCATCCAAGTGCACACACACACTGCAGTGGTTAGTGAACACACACACACTGCAGTGGGCAGCCATATTGCTGCGGCACCCAGGGAGCAGTTGGGGGTTTGGTTCTTGCTCAATGGTCTCACCTCAGTCGTGGTATTGAGGGTGAAGGAGAGCGCTGGTTATTCACTCCCCACCCCACAATCCCTGCCAGACCTGAGACTCAAACCCACAACCTTCAGGTTACAAGTCCAACTCTGTAACCATTAGGCCACGACTGCCCCGATATATGATATTAATGAAATAAAAGGCCACTAAAGAGTGTTTAAAGAGAGACAATTTCATGACTGATTCTTAATAAATACACTTTTAAAACATGCACTTTAATATGTCAAATAAATTTTTTTTACTTTAATGTATATTTTTATTCATTAAGTTTTAGGTCAAAAGGACTCAAAATCAAATGATTGCATACATACATTTTCGTCTAATTGCAATTAACATGCAATTAAATGTCCAAAAACATTAAATTCAGTTCACACGTAAGCATATCCTTTAAAAAGGATATTATTTCCGTTATAAGTACTCATTTTTAAAAATATGCTAATTTGTAGGCCCGCTTCCTTTCCACATGAAAATGACTTAATCAGCATTAATGATGTCTTCAGATGTATTCCCCTCTTTGAGGCTAGTGGCTGTACATTCATTCAGAGAAGCGATAGTTTCGTTTCTCTGCAGTCTGCAGCGTGTAACTGTTCACTGGAGACTATGACTCATTCGATGAATTGACGGTTCGTGTGAGATGCGAGAGAATAAAACACACACACACATATATATATATATGTAGTATCAGTAGGCTGTTTCACTAAAATATCTTTCTGTCAAAAAAATAGCTCACCTGGATCCTCAAGTCCGGGGCGTATGATATCCTCAAAAATGACGCCGTGCAGGTTGAGGATTCATGAGGGTGTGCTTTCTGTCCAGGTTTGGGAACTCATCTTTAGGGGAACTTCTCTTCAGATTGAACCTGCTCATTGGGTCACGGGGGAGTAAACTCTGGCCAAAAGACATCCGACAGATACTGCTATTAATAATATAAAATTTTAATTCAATTATATATTTTAATTAATGAAGAAGCAGGTATCTTTTCAGTGCAAAGTCATTTTTATTACACATCATACTGGACAAAATGTAAAATGTTAATGTAAATTTTGATCATGATCACATTATATAAACATTATATATATATATATATATATATATATATGTAAACCAGTGTTATTATAGTATCATTAAGATACTATTAAATATTTTGAGTAAAATTTTTAGCAACCTTATTTTGCAAGCAATATATATTTTTTAATATACATGTCTGTATAGTTTTTAATTTAAGTTTTAGTTTTAGTTATTGTAGTACATCAAGCTAAACTAAATGAAAATGAGAAATGTTGCTTTGGCAGCTAGATTAAATAACCCAGATGGCACCTTGATATCAGTTTGACATCAAATATTAGTCAAGATTTGATCAAGAAGCTGTAACATCTTAACATCTTAAATTCAGTTTGGACGGCAATTTCTTCCAGTGGTAATTGGGTGAAAATAGGAAGCTAATCCCACACTGAAATTGTTTTAATGTATCTGTAGGCCAGTATATTTGACATTCAAATTACATCAAATCAACCTCATGTCAAGTTTTTGACGTCAGTTTGATTTGCATATGTGACCTGGTTTTTTTTTTTTTTTTTTTAATGTCAGATGTATTTTCAACATCAATTGCCCACTAGTAATTTTTGTTTGTTTTATTTCAAGTACTGAAAATGTTTATTATTATTATCATCATTATGGATTTAGTTTTAATTAAATGTAATAAACATGATGTGAACAGTGTTCATTGTGCATTTATGTTTTGAACTCAAACCTGCCAAAAATGGTCAAGGTTGTAAAGCGAGAGGACGTGGTTGTGGCGATCCATTCGAGATCTGTGCAAGAACGAGATTCGAGAGCTATGCAGCTGCCTGGCAGCACCTTTTTTTTCTTTTTTTGTCCACAAACAGGCAAGAGTACGGGACTTTCCACTAGCTGGGTGTTAATGGGTTTGGTGTATCTGTGAAGGGGAATACCTCCAGCACAGGCCTGTATTTTGACTCCTTTGGGTGCTATGGGTGCTGAAACAGAAATCAGACATGAGACAAGAAGTCTCAAATACCTCTACACTAACGCCACACAAAATTGTGTTTGTTTTAGTGGGTTATTTTTTTTTTTCAGTCTAAAATGAGTAGTTAAAGGACTAACTGGTTCTGAAGTTCAGTCCATCTCCACCACATGCAATGGCATTTCATGCATCCAAAATATGACATTTGCGCTTAATCATCCACATTTTTTCTCGTTTCCACATCTTGAGCTTTCTTTTGTCAGTTAGTTTTCCTGAAAACGCTTGTACACACACTCACACACAGAAGTCAACAACAGCTAGACGTAGCTGTGGACGATATATATCTATAAATAGCCAGTGGGGCTCATGGTCATATGAGCAGCTATTGTCCCGTCACTCACCACACAAAGGTGACACACCCATGCTGGTTTCATGTTGCCTGCCTGTCATAATGCACCTATTTATACGCTTGTGTCAGTGTCATACTTCACGTTGAAGCTTGTAATAATGCTTTCGTAATGTACTTGCTTTTCACTTGAACACCACAACTGCAAAACATTACCGTTATCACTGATAAAGATAAATGTGAAATAAAAAAATATACAAAAAAAACAGAAGTTAATTTATTAATACAGACATTTTCAGGTTTAACATAAAAACGGAAGGGTCATATTTTTGTTCACTAGAGGTGAAGTAATGCTGGTGAGCAACTAGATTTGTACATTTTCTGAAGACAATTGAAGTGGTCCTTGCAAAAGCCATTACCTTGCCGGGTTAGGGTGTTGCTAAGAGGTTCGGAGTGTTTTTAGTGCACTGTTATGCATTTACTTGTCTGTTCTGACAGGGCATGTTGTATTTAGCATGTCGATATGAAGTTTAGCAGTGCTCGGCACACTGCTAAGGTGCTGTTAGCAGTTTTAAGCTCAGGTGTTTTATGTGGTTGCTAGATGTTTCTTATGAACTACTGTATTAGTTTCCCCACCTCCCACACACACACACACAAAAGGTTTCTCATCGCAAAACCATAAAACTCTCATCTCAGTCTGAAAGAAATGGTTCACTTGAGCCTGATCCGAATGAAATATCTATCTGTTGTGACAGGTCTACACACAGCATGTTTATGTGCATCTCTACAATATAAAATCATGGCGACGCCAGTGAGGAACTGGTCGAGAGAAGAGAACATTAGAATACACTTTATTCTCTCATTTGCTTTGATGTGTTAGACCAGTGGTTCCCAACCCTGGTCCTGGAGGCACCCCAACACTACACGCTTTGCATGTCTCCTTAATCAAACACACCTCAACAACATCAGCTCATTAGTAGAGACTTCAAGACTTGAAATTGGTGTCAAGTAGAAAATTTGAATTTTGTTTTTCAGTCATTTTGACAGCCCTACTCAGCGACATGCATTTTTTTGGCTGTATTGTCCATTTCTTGTGTCTCCTGCTTTGTTGGGGGTTTGTCTCATATATGTGATATGTGCAGCAGCAGTATTTCTTACATGCTCACCTCACAGCAGCATGTCTGTGCCTCCAGGACCAGGGTTGGGAACCACCGTGTTAGAATATGGCAAGTGTTGGGGTAACACATTACAAGTAACGTAATCAGATTACTTTTTTCATTTAACTAGTAAAGCATTACTTTTAAATTTGTTACTTTTTCAAATAAGTCACGCAAGTTACTTTGTTTTCCCATTTATTCACAGACAGCTCTTCTGTCCTCACATTGAGAGAAACTGGGAGTCAGAGGCAGAGGCGCTTCCTTCAGTCTGACGCTTATTAATATCACTTCTGGTGTGAAAGGAACTTTACAGTTGGCAAAAATATAACTTTTGGGTTTCTTTGTTATTAAAAATCATACAAGTAAGCCCAGCCCAGATGAGAGAAAGTAATGCAAAAGTAACGTAAAACATTACTTTCCATAAAAAGTCACTAGGTCACACAATTAGTAACTTTTTTATGGAGCATGCCTAACACAATATTGCAATGCGTTACTTTTAAAACTAACTTTCCCCAACACTGAATATGGAATATGAACCAGAGCCATTCAGATAGCTAGCTATAAACCATTGAACTAACTTTAACATGAAAACAACTTCTGTAAAGTTTGAAAATATCAGAGCCAGTTGTTGGGGTGGGCTTTTACAGCTGTGATCACTGAGCTTCAGAAAAACACACTAACCACTGTCCTTTTTCCTCGACAAACACTGAATATAGCAACGATCAGGCGTCAAGACACACTATTTGAAGTGATTTTTTATTGACTAAGTTGTAGACAGGAAAGCAGGGGAGAGAGAGAGGGGGATAGATTAAAAAACATTAAAACATGACCCGGGCCAGAATCGAACCCAGGTCTAAATAAGCCAACAGGTTGCAGACAAGTATGCAACGATCTGCACCACTCACTCGGACAAGATCAAGACCATTAAGCAGACATGGACCTTAGCTGGAAATAACCAGTAGCCATCGTACAGTGCTGTAACTGCAGAAACGGTTATGTTTTGGGACTGACACTGTTCTCATGTGCAGAATTTTGTTTGTTCACATCCAAACTGATATCTTCATAACACATAAGTGTAGTACATTCAACACCTTCAGCTGGTTTGAACTCATTCATGAATGAAAATCTGTGCATGTAAACATAATAATCAGTGCAACTACAACAAACGTCTTCAAATGACACTCCAAGTGAATCCTGGACACGGTTTCTTTAAAGTCAAAATTCATGCTTGTAGAGCTACAAGTCCTCTAATCCAGTTGTGTCCACCTTCACTTTGATGAACAGCGTGTCGTCTCTCACATAAACGGCATTTCGAGGGGCCTCCAGATCGCCGTGCAATATGAATCTCGGGAACCCTGTGGCTACATTAGCATCAGATGTTGGCCGATGAAAGCTATCGCTGTTGGTATCGGGGGTGAAAGTATTGCTCTGGTGGTTCCTCGAGCCGCTTTGGTCCAGCAGTGTTAACGTTATGTTCTGTCTGAAAGGCCACGATAAGAGCGAGTCGAAGTCTCCGCGCATTATCGTGATGTAGAGCGACAGGTGAGTGCCTCTCCCTGAGCTGTCCCCGCCGAGGTAAGCCCGCACACTGAGCTTGTAGCCACTACGACTGGTGTAGAAGGGGGTCGAGTTGAGCGGGGTGCCGGCCTCTTTCCGGTGGCAGTAGTCACCAAGCCCGCACACTGAGCTTGTAGCCGCTACGGCTGGTGTAGAGGGGGGTCGAGTTGAGTAGGGTGCCGGCCTCTTTCCGGTGCCAGTAGTCGCGCACTTTCCAGATGAGCTTCCCGTCGTAGGAAGTGGATACGAGCTGGTGGAAACGCTGCTCATTACACTGCAGCTGCTCCACGTGGATGTCTAACAAGCGGGTATGACGCTGACACGTCTGCTCTAACGCACCTGAGGGACACAAACACACACAGTTCTATTGTTACAGTTCTACAGAGACCAGAAACAAACTCTAGTGTACTCATCTTCTTCTTCCAAACCTGTATAGGCCACGACACACTATGCCAGGGGTCTCCAAGCTCGGTCTTGGAGGGCCACTGTCTGCAGAGTTGAACTCCACCTTGCCTCAACACACCTGCTTGTAAGTTTCTAGTATGCCTAGTAAGAGATGATTAGCTGGTTCAGGAGTGTTTAATTAGGGTTGGAGCTGAACTCTTCAGGACAGTGGCCCTCTCCAGGAGTGAATCGCTGCCTCAGTGTGGCCTCGGCAGAAGTGCACATCGAGGGCACACAGCGGCCACAAAGGGGGTGTTTGTGAACACCCTTCTGAAACACATTTACAGAGTAAATTCCTCAATGTGCAACAAAAACCTCATGTGACACTGTCTGAACAGATCATATGATTGGATAACTGGACTAACTAGTGGACAGATCTCTTTGCACATCATCTTAAATTGTGTTTTAGTGATTCTGAAATGCCTGAGCCAAAGTCTGTCATCAAAATGATTTCGTATGATTCGAATGCAACAGCATTTGTTTAGCAAGTAATTTATTATATAGGAAAAAAAGAAGTTCAGTGGCTTCCTCGGTTGCAGCAACTTCCATTTCTATTACTGATCATTTGCGCCGGTTTCCTCAGGAAACTGAACACGTGAGATGGAATCAGTGCTGGGTGTAACGCGTTACTGTAATTAAATTACTTATCCACTGAAAAAGTAAAGTAAGGGATTACTGTTAATTTTTAGGTAATTTAATTACAGTTACTTAAAAAGTACTTGCGTTACATACTGTAAATAATTTAAACAGTTCTAAAATCAATATTGAATTAGAAATCTAAATTTACAGTCTAAAGATAAAATTGAATGCAGCGTCTTTAACCCTCTGCGCGCCGGCGCGTTCACTTTCAGTTTTTCCTGATTCACAGAGAAACCTTAAATACTCAGATAAGACTAAAATCCTATTCTTCTCGGTACTTTAGACCGCGATGGAAACGCAGACTATGAGGAATAAGCCAGAATTTACCTCAGAAGAACTGCGCGATCTGACGCGGCTTTACTCAGCGGAGGAGATCATTTCTGCAATGTATTCTTACCTACATTAGTTAACGTGTTATTTTTACATAAACCTGTACGGATTTTACTAGTTGGGCTTTTCCTGAACATCTTGCCAAACTGAAATGTATTGTTTAACTTTTCTTAAGCTTTTTTGCTCAGCCATGACTCGAACCAGGGACCTCCATGTGCCACAGTGAAGGTCATGCATCCTGTACCTCACCAGTATCTAAAACTAAGCTTGTGTAGCCAAACACATTTGCATTCTCATGTGTAGAAGAATGCGTTTTGAGTTTCAACCACCTTGTCCAGTAGGTCACTTTAAGTAAACTGTGTCAGCATTCATGTGTCCAATCAAACTTGACTTACCGAGGTGTTCCCTGAGGCTTTCAGTGACGGCCACCTGCTGTCTGAGGGAGTCCAGCGATGCCCGAAGGCTCGGGAGCTCTTCGCTCAGTTCAGAGCCCAGAACGCCCCGCAGATCCCTCAGTTCACGCTGAACGCTGCAGATCCGCACTCGCTGCTCCTCCACAGACCTCTGCCACACAAACACAGAGCATACAGCAAAATCTGACAGTTACCTAACAAGAACTATGTGCCCATCCATGCATTTGGCAAATAAATATATAAAAATGTGAATAAAACCATTTGCGCACAATTGAGGCAGATCATTTTTTATCCAATAAGAAGTCATGCACACAAACTATTATAGAAACACATTTACAGAGTAAATTCCTCAATGTGCAACAAAAACCTCATGTGACACTGTCTGAACAGATCATATGATTGGATAACTGGACTAACTAGTGGACAGATCTCTTTGCACATCATCTTAAATTGTGTTTTAGTCATTCTGAAATGCCTGAGCCAAAGTCTGTCATCAAAATGATTTGGTATAATTACCTACCATAACTGTCTCACACGATTGCATTCACAAACATCAGAATAGATGAAAACTTAAACCCTTTCATCAAATATGAGATTTGTTCTTTCAAACTAATACAGGGCGGCAGCTTTATTGTTATAAATTGCCCATTATTACAATGAATCTCTTAAACAATTATTATTGTGGGTGGAAAAACAAACTTGGCAAGTAGCTTCCCCTTATTTATTTTTACATAAACCTGTACGGATTTTACTAGTTGGGCTTTTCCTGAACATCTTGCCAAACTGAAATGTATTGTTTAACTTTTCTTAAGCTTTTTTTGTTATTCAGATATTTTGCAGAGCATTTCTATTTGTTAACCAAAGGTTACATTTTTTATAAAGTATTACAGTTGTTTTAAAGCTAAAAGGCTTCTATGTTTGACTCAAATTGAAAGAATAAAGAGTTTAATTTCTATTGTCTATGCTTTAATGTTTATAGGGATTTTAAGAGGTAGCATAATTAGCGATTTGAATAATTAAGTTACTTATTGAGTAACTAAATTACTTTACACACAGAGTAACTAGTAAAGTAATTTAAATACAACATTGATGATTTAATTAGTAATAGTAATGAATTACTTTTTGAAAGTAACTTACCCAACACTGGATGGAATCAGTGCGTTAATTTGCAAATGTTTTATGTGATATTCAATTTTTTCGTAAAAGTTAAATGCGCAACTTTGGGTGGAAACAGAGCTAATGACACATACACCAAAACAGCTTTCTACACAGGAATGTACAGTAGGTGAATTTAAATATTCAAGCTAGTCAAGCTATTACAACTTTTAATCACAGCGCCACTACGACCACATAAATACTGGCAATAATGAATGAATGTACACTGATTGGTGATTATATGATATATCAATTATATTTACACTTTAGTGAAAATTATTGTTGCTATATGTTCAAAAACAAGTCAACGGTTCCTTTAACTTGGTATTATGAGGGTTTATGAAAAATATAGAAGACATTGTTTCTAAAATGACAGGGCAATTAGCTGTGTTTTTATACGGACTAGTTTGACGAAGGGTTTCCTTACCTGTAAGGTAGTAAGTGTGCTGTCACACAAGGTGATGTCCCGGTCCAGATTGCTGACCACAAAACTTTTGTCCTTCAGCGCCCCCTGCTGGACTAACATATCCTGCTGCAGCTGCTCCACCTACCAGTTGTGTGTTACATTAAATATTTTTATTTAGGCAAATCTATTCAGCATCCGAGAACACAGCAATCCCTTTTGTTATAACTTTTATGTACTTGGAAATAGTGTTTTATGAGCCAGAATTTCTCCATGATTTCTTTTCGTGTTTTACAAAGAGCCAGTTTCATACCTGTGTCTCAAGTTTGGTGTTACTTTCCAGAACCAGCCGAACATGGGAACTGAACTCTGTGTTTTCATGAACTTGCACTTTCCCTCTTTTATCCTGGAGGAAAGACAGAGTTCGAAGGCTGAGATCTGCAAGTGCATCACAGCTCCAGGCAAACGGAAACATTCACTGAACGGCAGCTCGTTAAACAGCGATACAAAAGACACTTTCACTTGGTTCTGTGTTAAATTATACTGTTTTCTTACTCTGAACGTGCAGCCATAGTTTTTATAAAGGCAGTCAGTCTCCACTTCAAGACACTCGTCAGCATGAGCTTGCAGCTGCAATGAGGATCAACAAGCAGCCATGAGCAAATTAAAATATCTGTAGCTGTTCATGGAGCGGTTTAAGGAGCCATGTTGATGGAAAAATATGAGATGGGAGGAAAAATTATCTTTTAATGCTCGCAAAACTTTAGAAGTCTGTCATCAAAATGATTTGGTATGATTCGAACGCAACAGCATTTGTTTAGCAAGTAATTTATTATATAGGAAAAAAAGAAGTTCAGTGGCTTCCTCGGTTGCAGCAACTTCCATTTCTATTACTGATCATTTGCGCCGGTTTCCTCAGGAAACTGAACACGTGAGATGGAATCAGTGCGACGAATTCAAATCGAAAACGAATATTATCCGATTATGTAATAATCTAAAGCGAGGTACAGTCTTTCCCGTATCTGAGCTCATTATATGCAGTCACCTGCGTGCAAACGCCCTCACCTAGATACAAAAAATAGATAAAAAAAAAAATCATTGCCCCTCAGAAAGTCCCTGCTCTTTACTTTTAGTACTTTTTCAAAGGTCCGGAACTTTCGGGGGCGGGACTTGAGCGCTGAACATGCTGATTGGTTGAGTTCACGCAGCATTGTATTTCAAC